ACGGCTGTGATTATGTCTGCTCTAGCTGGCCTCAATGCTGCCACGAGGGATACCTCTCCAAGCGTTACGATTCGCAATCTAGAAAGGTCCACCCATTCTTTTATCTATTGACGGAGACCGAAAAACGGAGGTCAAAAAACGGCTTCCGTGGCTTGAAGAATGGTGTTAAGTCAAGTCTTGAATTTCCCTCTTCCATGTCTCCAGGTGGACTGCGGCGCCGGATCGAGGGTAGCATAGCAACCTTGTAAGGCGAACAACAGAGAATCTGTCCAAATAACTTTAATCGTGTTTCTAAAGCAGAGGCATCCACCGGCTAAAATACAAGGATTTACCCGATTCCTGCGTCTCTGTACAAACAAACAGGACGGCCGTCCTGAATCTCAAAAATAAGTATGCATATAGTTTTCCTGGGTAGTTTTCACGACCGTGAGATACTGGCAGGGTCGCCAAACGCATCGCAACAATCGTCGTCACGAAGATTCAAACTACCCTGCTAGTTGACAGCCTAAACTTTAATGTATTGCACCGAGGGCTTAATGTGCACTTATGGTGAAAGAAGTACGCGCTCGACCCACATTTGATCAAACAGCTAGGCCTGACCAGAACGCAGACGTAGAGGATCCGTGGTTTAAACACAGATCTACTACTTCGAAAAACCTAAGTCCACCGTCTGATTTACTTAACTATATGCCAGCACCACTATCTCACTCTGCAGAGTGGACCAGGCCCAAGACAGTCGCAAGCGCCAAGTAAAACCCAAGGACACAAGACAAGCATTTACTAAATGCGCTCAGACAGGGTTTACAGCGCAGACATCTAGTCTTAACTGCAGTAGCATGCTTCCTCGAACGTTCAATAAAGCTAATCAAACCTGCAATTTTTCGATCAAAAATAATCAGTCTGCACAGACAACAGCAATTATACCGAATAAACCCTTCCAAAAGCTTGAGAACTTGCTCAAGAAACCAATCCTTTGTATTGCGTTCGAACAACGTCGCAAGTTTGGAAGTAACTATGACTTCCAGATGATCGAGATAACATGTTTTGAGTGCAATTCTTTTCATTCGGATATCTAAAGCCTATGGCCTAATCTGTCAAAGAAAGCGATCCAAAAAAGTAGGACTCGAATCTATATTCTTAAGACAGAACGACCTAGAATGTCAGCAGAAACCTGGTAGGCCAAATGCTGCGTTTCAAGAAGTCGAAACTTTGAGGCCTGCAAGGCTAATTAAAAATCACATCTAGTCACGTGCTCCTAACACACAAAATTACTGCTTTCCACGTTCACCAAATCCCATGGTAAAGGACAACCACCTACGGGAGGAATAGAACGGATACTATTCGTACTGCTATGATCAACCGCTTTCACGAATTTAGGCATACGTGTTACGGAGACAGGTGCAGTGTACAAACAAAGCGAAGATACAACTATCATAACGAACCCTTTAGAGGTAGACTTGCATAGTCTCAACACCTGCAGCCCATTGAATGCTACGTCAAGGACCAGCAAGAAGAAAAACTTACCCTTAACCAAATATGCACACATGGCGGGACGACTCAGACTTTATTCACTGGAGACACTACCACAGACATCCCAGCTCATGCGGGAAATACATTTATGGAAGCCGTTGTACATATAGATTCGTCTAGCAGTAAATAGCAAAAATACAACAGACACTACGGCTGGAAAGTGGTAAATCAGCAACCCTCTTCAATAAATCCCGTTTTAGCTCATAAAAGTCAACCTGCTCTACTGTAGCACGCCAAAGTAGCGCTTAGAAGCCCGAAAAGGCGGAAAATACAGGGGAAGAGTGGGGCATTAGGACGCGAATGGTTCGGAACTAACGCACAGAGAAATCCGGTTACACTAGCGGTGCAGGCAGGAGACGAAGCCTTGAAAATGCACATCCTTTTCTGAGATAAGCCAAAAATGAAAAAGTCAAAAGGGCGAGCTATTACCTAGTGCTGACGTGGTGAAAGGATAAAAGAACATCACTTCAATGTTAAATCTGCAGTAATATTTACGGAGCGGAGAAGATATTTTA